AGCGCCGATCGCGGCCCCACCTCCCACCCACTCCCTCCGCCCCCGCCAGGCTTCTGTCCGACGCCCAGCTGGAAAAACATTGCATGTGTTCGGTATTTTCTGAATTTTTTTTACCCGACAGAGGGCGCAAAAACCAGACTGTCTGGTAGAATACCGGACACCTGGCAACCCTATTAAGGTTGAGAAAAGAGTCGGACAGGAGTAAGCCTGGTGGGCTGGAGGTCAGGACTGAGGGGCAGCAGGTGAGCAGCACGGGGCGCCCCGTTCCGGAAAAGCAGCAAGTGTAGCAAGTCAGGACTGAAGTTCATTGGCAGAGCTGCACCCAGCATGGGATGCCACGAATGGGGGGAAGGCGGGATGTAGCACCGTGGGGAACCCACTTGCACTGCTCCTGCCTGTACCGTGCCATCAGCCTCTCTCCTGGACACAATCCTTAACTTCCCCCGCAGGCCCCACCAGCACCCAGTCAGGCACCCGTAGCCCTGGCAGTATGTTGCAGCAACTGTGTCATTGTCTTGGCCATTTCATCTGCATAACAATAGCCCAGCACATTTTGCTTCTGCTAACCCAGCTCTGAGAGTGTGATTAGCACACAAAGACCTTCCTGTACACCTCCCCGGCAAAAGCATACCGTGTACCTGACTGCACTCGCAGTTCACCTCCAGCAACAGAAACTCTCAGGATTGTCCTGCTATAAAACAAACTTCCTCTCTCTCTCTCTCTCTCTCTCTCTCTCTCTCTCTCCTCCCACTCATCACCTGTCACTAAAAGACCCTTGACCTAAGAGTGATACAGTTTGCCAAGAAAGTTCTCGTCCTAGACTCCGGAAAGGCGGTTTCTGATAAGGGCACCCGGTCAAGAAATAAACAAACTGGACTTCAAAGCAGGCGTGGCTTTTTAAAGCATGCTTTCTAGCCCTTGGAATGCCTTCCCAGGTACAAGCAGATTAGACAACGGAAAAGCTTCATCGGGAAAGAATGACTGTGCCAGGAATATACACACCAGAATACAATGGTTATACCCAGCGAAGAAACTTTCACAGCCTAAGACTCTGCATGAAAGATTGGAAGGAAGATTCCTTGAAATATGCAAGAACATGACCTGGCAGATGGACACAGGCCAGGAGTTGGAAGAGCTGGTGTCTAGTTCCAGTTCTGCCACCCTTAACCTTGCTGCCTCGGTTTACTCATCTGGGAAACCTACTTCTCTCCCTTCTTCCCAGCCCTCTGAGATCTCCAGACCAAAGGTACTTGAGAATGACAAGCAGTATTAATGTGCTCTGTAATTTGATTATCCAGCTTTACAGCCATGAGTGCTTAAAGTGCTATGACAGTAACCAACCCAATCCTTCTGATGCATAATTTCCAAATCCCTCTCCATCCCACGCTGGCCCAATTTACATGAATTCAGCAGGGGAGAAAGGTGAAAGTTGGCAGTCCCTGAAGACCCAAGTCGTCTTTGCATTGCCAGCACCATCAGTTCCCCCCTTTCTGGCCAATAGGGCTCCCTCTTGGTTTGCAGCAAACCCCACCTAACATCATCCTAGGTAGCTTATGGTGCACGGAGCTCATTGTTCAGAACCCAAGGGCCTTCTGAGCCCTGACTGCCCTGCTGGGATTGTGAACTTGGTCTACTAATGGGTTTTCAGACTGGAATCTTGTCCTCGTAGAACTACTCTAGGCTCTGTCTACACTTAACAGTTTAGAGCACAGCCACACAGTGACAGCGAGGCCATGGCATGAGGATGGGGAGAGAGCTCTCCCAGCACTCCATAGAAACCATCTTTGTGAAGGGGTAGCGAACAGCGCTAAGAGCGCGGCTGTTCATACTGGTGCTTTACAGCGCCATCACTTGCTGCATTTGGGGGGGTGTAGGTTTTTTTCCACATCAGTCAGCCAGAATGTTACAGCGCTGTGCAGTGCCAGCGTAGACTTGGCCTGATCCTAAAGAATGGCCCTGGGTTTAAAGCCTGGGATGGGAGATCAGTGTTCCTTTCCAGGCACTGCCTGTGTGACTCCGGGTGACCTCACGACTCTCGTCAGTTGATCTTTCAGCGCTTCAACTCCCTGTCCGCAGCACTGGGACACGGGCACGCTCCATTTTGTCTATTTAGACTGCAAGTATCGCAGGGCAGGGACTGTCTTGTACTACATGTTTGTACAACTCCCAGCACCCTGGCTCCTGGTCTTGGTTGGAACTTTAAGGCACTACTGGAATCCAAAGAAACTTTTCACAAGTTGAACCAGTCATCAGAGTGAGTCTTGCCATCCATATTGGACAGGGAAATGTTAAAACACTTGACATTCAGGCTCAATTTAAATAGATTCATAGGAAAATAACTCACAGACTAGACCAGTGGCTCTCACCCTTTCCAGGACACTTTCAGGAGTCTGATTTGCATCCTCACTTAAAAACTACTTGCTTATAAAATCAGACATCAAAATATAAAAGCATCACCACACCCTGTTACTGAAAAATTGCTTCCTTTCTTCTTTTTACCAGATAATTACAAAATAAATCAACTGGAATATAAATATCGTACTTACATTTCAGTGTACGGTACACTGAGCAGTCATTGTATGACATTGTAGCTACTATCAGCTTTGCTAGTGCCTTTTACAGAGCCCGTTGTAAAACCAGGCAAATACCTAGCTGAGCTGATGTACCTCTGCACACCTCCAGTTGAGAACCACTGGACTAGAAAACGTGCCTGGCGGGAACAGACTCAAAGATCTCCGCCTATTTAGCTTCACAAAGAAAGGATTAAAGGGTAGCTTGATTGCAGTCTATTAATATCTACGTGGGGAACAAATATTTAATCTTGGGCTCTTCAATCTGGCAAACAAAGGTATAACATGATCCAGCAGCTGGAAGTTGAAGCTAGTTCAATTCAGACAGGAAAAAAAACAACCCGGTGTGTGTTTTTAATGAGCCATTGGAAAAACGTAACAAGGGGTGCGGTGGATAGCCCATCACTGCGATTTTCAAATCAAGATGGGATATTCGGAGGGATGTAAATGATTAACTGGTTTACCGGCAAGCCCCATCCTTAATGGACAAGGCGTACCAGTTCCAGTTAACCAGCAGGGGCTGGAACAGCTCTCTGCCCACTCTGGGCAGGAGTCTGCTCCAGCTTCGAGGGGCCCACCACAGGCAGGAGCTGCTCTGGTCTAATTGGCTGGCGCAGCCTGTCCGTGGTGGCCCTGTCCTGGCCCCTTGCTGCGAGTTACACATGCTGGCTTCCCACAGCGCATGTAACCGCTAGGTTACTGGAAGCAGACTAGATAATCACAGCTGGAATCTATGGATCTATACGGTTCAATTTGAATAAACATTCAAAATATCAGTTATTTCTTCAAATTCTACAATCGAAAATAGGCTGGAAATGACCTATTTGGGTCTATATTGCACCATTCATCATCAGATAAATAATTATGTGGGAATCCCCCCCCTCCATAAATGGGCTTCTAGTTCTGGTTTTAAAACCATACGCAGGGACTGGGCAATTAAAGCTGCATATCCCAGACTCAACACAGACAGGAGGGAAAATAAAGGAACCTCAAATGTTGCCCCTCCCAGCCTGGATCATAGGAGAGTTCGGGCAAAAGCGCTTCTACCAATCAAACAGGTGGCCTGGAAACAGACACCCCCGGCTTGCAAATGATCACTGAGGAAGTAAAGACTAAACTGTGTTATTTCTTCTAAAGGGGAATGGGGCTGCTTTGACCTTCATCAGTCAAGGTCAAGTAATCTGTTCTACAAACTCCCTGAATGTCAAAACCCAGCCTCTGAGCCAAGCTTTACGAGCCAGTTTTTTTCTTTCCCTGGTGCTGTCATCCGTGGCAAAACCGAAGGAGAAAGGAAAGACTTTCCCGGCTCTAAAGCTGAGAAAACACTGTTCTGTCCATCAAATTAGCACGTTTCACACAGTGACCAGACTGTCTGTTAAAACCACAGAGAACTTTATTCATTGGCTTGAGCTAATGACAAGCCTCCTCCCTGTGGAATGCACGAGGAGTTTTACATCTGGACACAGTGCAGCCTAGTGGCTACAGCCCATGCCTGGAAAACCTAATGGCTTGAGTTGTTCCCACCATTAACACTGAAGTCACTTCATGACTCAGTTTCCCCATCTGTAAACTGGGGAATGAAAAACAATTTAGCTCTTAGCTCTTGCTGGGGCCTTTTTTTTTTTTTAGCCTTAATCTCCAAAAAGTCTTTGAGAGCTTCCCATGGGGTGGTGCTTTAGAACTGGGAAGTCACATTGTACTACGGAGGCAGAGC